AATGTTTTAAGTTTTAATGTTGTTGCTTATTTGAGTCTGCCCCTGCTACCTTGTCAATGTCAGGATTACAATAATCTACAGTAAAGCACGATTTGGCACATACATCAGTCATATTAAAGTCACTTGGTATTCAGTAACTCTTTGATCAGTTTAAGACAATTTAATTAAATCTGGTGCCAGAAAATTGCAGCGTTTTCAAGTGCAAAGACACACCTCAGATGCACCTGACTCCTTTAGAAGTAACTGTACTTGAAAATAAGTCGTCAGATAACTCACACCCTGAAACAACTCAAGCCCTCAAACCAGGACTTGCCATGTGAGAAGGAGGAGGAGGAAAAAGGAAGTAGAAAGCGCCACATTAGCAGAAATTCCAGAATAAGTTTCTCCTTTCATTATCTAGAGAGCCATTATAGTCATAGCTGCTGTTGACTCAGAAGAGATGAGAGGGTTTTCTTTGGAGGAAAAAGAAGTGTTGCTCATTGCTTCTTTAAAAACTACCATTCAAACACATACAATGGCTCAAAAGTTGTTCACGTGCTTTCCCCCTGAAGTCACATATAGTTGTGGGGATGCTGTTTAATCATAGTGTGTAACTATCCTTCCAACATCTATTAGAAAATGCAATTATCACACTGCATTACACTTCCTGTCACTAATGATAAGGATCAAATATGCTGCAAAAGCAAGTATAATCACTTTGACCCACCAAATTCAAAGCCAGACTGTACTCAGCTCCCCTACACCCCCCTAGCATGAGTTCTGTCCTAGAAAGCAAACACCCAAAATGGAATGAAGAAAGATGGAGAAAGACCACAGCGCGTGGAAAGCACTACTAGATCAAGACCTCAGGGCAGCTCACCAGTCCCCTAGGAAGAGAACTGGGATTCGTCATGCTTTGCACTTCTCCCACTTCTACACCTGAAATTGCCTAGATCTGAGGGAGCTTAGTTGTTTTGACAATTTATTCCCTGCCTGCAGAAAATTGGGCCACTGTGTACAAAGCACACCTCCGCCAGTTGTGATTTTACCTTTCCCCACCTTCAACCAGTACACATGTGATGTTATGTGGAAGGATGTAACATAGCACTCCTTGGACCCAATCTTGCAAAGCTGGGTTGCAAAATAATGAGACAGCTGTGCTGAAGCATCATTAAAGATGTTTCTGACAGCACTTTGACACTCATGTCCCAGCAGGTGAAGGAGGGAGGAGATGCTCCACAAAGAGCTTTGGAAACAAATGCCACCATAAGCCAAAAGTATGTGGAAAAGGAAGAAAATGTTAGGAATTTTTTCCTGTCATCCCAGATGTTGCTTCTCCTACTTTCTCTCATGCTTGCCTACAATCCATAAAACCACTTCAGTGATCAGTCCTGGTCATCAACAAATCCTCAGACAGGCTGCTGTGCACTGTTTGCATTTGCTGGGATAGATCCAGGGCATACCAACAGCTAGGATCTCTATAGCCTTTGCTGCATATTCTGGGTCCATCATTGACTCCAAAGGGCTCTGGAAGCTACTAGGGCATCCTGCTCTTTGCACTTCTATTTAAAAACTGTCAGCAGCTAGCAGCATCAGTCCTCATGGACCAGGTACTCAATGGTCCGTACACTGCTCAAAGCAGTGGCACATGTCAGCTAAATGAGGAACGAAATTGGTCTCATCATGTTGCAACCTCTTACACGTAAACCAAGGCTGGGTGAGAGCCTCCTGAAGGCTCCTTTCACTGATGCTGGCTGCAAACAATGCTGCAAAGGGGGACAGGGAAAAAGAGAATATTAGTCTCCTGTACTTCCTAACTAATTGCTTATGTGTTTAACAAAATGCAATATACCAAATCTTCATAGACATTTGGTGACAAATGCCAGACTGTAATGATACCTCTTATAATACAATAAAGAACCATCTAGAAAGCTGCCTGCATTATTTGGGAGAGGGACTCAGATTTGATAAGTGGCTAAAAATTAGTTTAATGATTCCCTATTTAGCCTTTAAATCTACTCATAATGTGACACTGTGTTTCTAATTAGGGACTGAAGATGTTGATTTAACATTTCTGTCATTACAGATTAGACATCACATGCTATCTCTATATTATTGAAAAGTTCGTATTTTGAACATAAAAAGGAATCTGTAGAGTCAGGCACAGGGTTTAACTTTTTATAATGAGCCATTCATCTTCAGGTCAGGTTTCATAATAACTAACGGCTACAAGTTAGTTGAGTGTGAGGAAAACGAAATGGAAAAAAATGGAAATGTGGATAACTGCTGAAATTGTAAGTGTCACATTTCTACAGACTGAAGCATAATAATATTTAAAATGTCCAAACTGTTTGTGACACCTCATTTCCACCACTGCCACCACAACTTCTTTGAAGGCATACTGGGTGGTTAGCAAATATCTACTGGCAGGGCATCTGACATGACAATCGAGGCTCAGCATATTTTTTCTTAAGAGCAAATACCTCAAAACATTTAATCACAGGACCACATTCCATGGAAGACAGTGGGGTAGGCAGCACATTCTGGGCAACAGGGCTACAGTAATATTTACTATCTCTTTTCCTACTCATGATCACCTAGCATGTATGCTGCTAGATTGTTTTTGCATGGAAAAATGTTATCAGGAAAGCAGGCAACATATTTTTATCTGCCCTGCATGCACCTTTAGCAACTGCAGTCAGGTGTCCCACAGCTAATCAATTCTCATGGTTGCTTCAAAACTACAAAAATAGGGCCCATCCTAACCCAGGCAATCCAGTACAGGGCCTGGTGTCTGGGGTAGCTCATCTAAAAAGCACTTCCTTTAGTCTCAGAATCATGGCAGTAGGAAAAGAAAAACACCTTCAGTGTGCCTTAAGATTTACAGGGACTTTTCAGACCAAATGGCTACTATCAATCATCTCTGCACTCCCAGCAGGAAATTAGATTTCCTGTTGTTTAGTGCTACAGTGCTTGACATAAGTCTGTGAATTTGTAGTTCCAGCAGTGCTACATTAAAAATCTATACTGTGGACAAAGGGGAAGAAATACATGTTTTCATCAAATGTAGCAGAGAGAACATCTTTTCAGACACTACCTCTCTGCTTTTGACTGATTTTTATTTAAAATTGTGTTTTAATCAGCAAGGCAAGTATATGAAAGGATAAGGGAAGTACATTTACGGGGCAAAAAATTCTTTTCCTCCTGTAAAAAGATTTATTCTTATATTCATGTCAGTCTTGTCTACAGGAAGGACAATTTATATCTCTGTCATAGGCTGCCAACCAGGCTCAACATTCATACATTCAGAGGACTAAAAATCTTCAGAGCTGCTTGTTTCAAGCAATAAATTTGAGACATCTCATTCCTGATGATCTTTATTTGGTTTCTTCTGAGCTTATTGCTGCTTTTTCCTCATTTTTAACCTTTCTTTCTCTAGCTGATGGATAAAGTAGTGACCCATTTTCTCAGTCAGAACAGCCCCTCAGTTTCCCCAGGGAGCAGAGACAGAGATTCCCCAGGAAGCTGAACAAATTTGTCAGTGACAAATCCCTGTGAAGCACTGCAAGGCTCAGCCACCTTCCCACACTGGTGTTTGCCACAGCTGCAGCTGGGAAAGCCCTGTGCCAAGCTTTACTAGTGGTTTTATTATGCTTTTCCTCTATCCTCATCTTCCAACGAGTCAGATTCCTCCCACAAGGAAGGTCATTCAAGTCAAAAGGAAAACTACTACTTACATTAGATTAAGCACCCAGGGATCATCTGGCTGTGTTTTGGGGGCTAAGCTGGTAGTACAGAAAGTAGGGAGTGCATATAAGTGAACTGTATCTCCTGGCTGGAGAAGACACTATGAGGAGGGTACTCCAGGTGAGTAAGGGTTAAAGAGGTCCTGGATACCACTTCATGCTTTTCCCATGCCCCTGAGGAAAGGTCAGCGCTTAGGAGCTCTGGAAAGCAACCATTCACAGTGCCCATTACACCTGCTGCTGCAGCACACTCAAACCTTTCCAAGATTTCAGTGGAAATGGGGTCTTACACAACACCCAGCATTACAACTCATTTTTTGACTGTTCTTATTGCTCCTCTTGTGGAAGACCACAAGTTGCCTCATAATTTGGGCCAAAGAGTGAGTATTGCATCCAAGCTACATCAGGCAGGTGGCTCTGAAGATGATCAGTGACAGGCAGTTATCTCCTTTTCACCATTTAAATTTGATGGAAGCTTTCATCCTCCTTGGAAACCCGGAGTTTCCCCCTTTGCCAAGAAAACCATCCCAGACTTATAAGCACCAGCTGAACATTCATTGATTTGGATAATGATTTTGGTCAGTCTGGCAGTGTTAGGGTAAGTAAAAGAAGCACCACAAAAAAGCAATTGTACAGAGTAAAATAATAAGCCAATTTAAAAAAACCCCTACCCTTAACAAAGATGTGGAGCCATACTCCATTGTGGGAACAACCACTCCTGTAACTTCACTGCTAGTCAGTTCAGTCCTTGTGCTAGCCAAGCTCCTTCATCACACTTAAAGGATAGGCATGCCTCATCTCAATTTTATGTTCCACCTGAACTGACATCAGAGCTGCGTGTTGCTTCCTAAGCCTATGAACCATTAGACTGTGAGATCAGACATTTCCTTAAACAAGGTCTAGTCCTTGTGCAGCAGCAAGATGGATACAGGTCTGAGGAAAAATGGGAAGATGAGCAATCACTTGCTGCTGAACTACACCTGCAGCTACTGCCCGTTCTCTGTCAAATACCACAGGACTAGCTGGCAAGTTGGGTACAGGCAAGTCTTGAAAACACAGCATCTACTTGTTCTTGCGTGCTTGTACCTAAGATCTGACTAACTCACATGGGACTGTTTTCAGGGGGACTTGATGGCACTGAGTATGAAGATGGATATGCATGTTATCAAGCAAGAAAGCATTCTTCCTTACAAACAAAATGGCCAACAAATGACTTAATTCCTGAAGAGCAGAGCTGCCTTCTGTGTAGGCTTGGCAACTGAATGCTGCACTCACCTCAACAAAGATGAAGCAGGGGATGATGGAATAACTTCTTTGGGTATTGTTTCCTAAAGCCATTTCTCATCACACTTCTTGGGGAGGCACTGTTCAAAACTTTATTATCCTGAAAAAGAAAAGACAAAGGTGTTTCAGAATGTTTCCTTTTTTTGCGAACTCCACATTTAACACAACAAGGTTCGTAACATATTGGAACAGGGATACAGACTAAAAAGAGCATCAAGGTCTAACTTGTGATCATACAAAATAACCTAAGGTGGCACTCCCTTTGCAGCACAAAAGCAAGAGGCAGACACAGGTCACAAGATACATCACCTACAGAGCAAAGAGTGGTAAGGAATACAACTGTCCTCCTTAGTTACAATCCACTCTCAAGCAAAGGCTTCTTCCCTGGGATTGTAAAATCACATATTCAGCCTACTGTCCTGCCTACAGTGCATTTTAAATCAAGAGGTTTTGGTAATTGACTTGTGAACTTGTACTTTAAAAGACACACTTATAGTACGTTAACTGTACACACAATCAAGATGTTTATCTACGTGAAGTGTGACCTGCTCAAGATGACAGCATGTCTTATGCACAAAAAAACCCTAATAAGCAAATACAACAAAATGCAATGAAGGACTGGGCCCTTGTTGCAGAGCCTTTCTAGCCTGCTATAAATTTGTACATTAACCCACAAAACCCTACCTGCTTAGCATTACTTCAGGCTACTGGCTATTCCAATTAACATAACCTTATAACACTCTGTGTTAAGACACTTAATATCTTTACAGCACAAAAAGTAGGAAAGGAGAGAACAGAAGACTAACATGGAGAATTTTTAGGGTGAGTGCATGTGCTTTTCTGTATGCATGAGGTAGCACATCAAGAAGCGAAGGCTGGCTTAAGTGATTTTAGAGAGAGGAATAGGCTAGCAGGGAAGAGGGGGCTGGAAAAGCAGCATGTTGCTCAGAGCTGCCAGGTGCATGCTTGCACAGAGCACGAGACACAGAAGAGAATGGAAAACATTTGCTATCAATTTTAACATGAGCACATCAAGCAAGAGCACAGATTTAGGTGGGCCTGACCTCACTTCCAACACTCGCACAGAAACCCTGCCCTGATCATAAGCATCTCCACAGGCCAGGGCCAGGGGGAAGGAGGTGAAAGCTGCTGTATTTTCCAGAGGATGCTCTGCACAACATCTTCCCCCAGCTCTTTGACCTCACTGGCATCTGGGTGTCTATTCAGGCCTTGGCATATGGAGCCGGTGAGGTTCATGAAGGGGTCAGTGCTTTCTCACCAGCTCTCGGCAGGGTTACTGGAAAAAATACTATTATCAGAGCACTGAGTTCAGCAGAGGTTACGAAGCCTGATTGAGGAGCTGGATCAGCTGCCAGTGCTTGCCACCTGCACCATGATGCAGGCTCTTGTCTTGCCACCTATGAACTACTTAATGTATTTCTTACCTCAGATCTTCACCATTTGACCCAGAGCTGTAAAATACACAATGTATATGATGGTTTTGGTAATACGGTTCTAGGCACAGCACAGCGGTAGTGACTCCAGTGAAGCCACATCCTGTGTCAGGATGGCTTTTGAACTACAACCATTGAAAAATGCAGTTCCAAGTCAAACAAAATACTCAGGAAATGTTATCTGCGACATGCTTCAGACACTCCTATCCTACACTGTATCCCAGTTATGAAATACAAATATTCTGGATTTTCAAAATGCCTTTTTTTCCAAACATACTTCAACTTTACTTAGGAGATAAAATGGGTTTTATCTTAGAGGTTAGTCATTGTTTTAAAAAAAAGACAAGCTAATCCAACCCCATTTGGGCTGTGGAAAAAATTTCCAATCATTCATTTTTTAACAACATTTTTCATACCGCCAGCTCTTGTGCCATGTGGCCCTCCCTTTAACCTGGCAAACACATGGTGCCTGGTAGAATAGTAGGTTAAACAGAGTAGCTTTAGAGAGGGTAGCTATTTAGAGGGCATTATTCCACTAAACTCCTCTTTTATCCTGGAGATACACTGTCAACACCTTTTTTGCAAATCCTGATTTTCAAATGGCTTAGTGCAAAGATGTTGATACCTCAGCACCTTCATGAATGCTTTCCCAGATCAAGCTTAGAAATAACCAAGATTTTCCATAACACTGTCCTGTAACTTCAAGCCACGCCTTCAGTTCCAACCACTGTGACAGCTGTGTGTTCCTAACCAAAGTGGTGGGCTGCAAGGCAACCCAAGAATTTAAGAAATGTTCTCAACAGAGAACTGACAGCAACTGCACAGACTAGCAAAGAAGCTGAGGGTTCTTAGTAGTCATATAAAATTGCCTAATTTAATGCTAGGGGATTCCTGATGTCATAAATGTGCATGTGTGTCTGTTCTTTTAAGCTTATTGTGCACCACTGGTTTAAAAACCTGCATTGCCTATGGGAAAGCATTTTACATGTCAGCTTCTCTCCTATGTGATGACACATTTGTGTCAGACATAAGTAGTAAGAGACCAAATAGTTGCCTGATCAGGCCAGCTAATTCCCAGATAGTGGGAAAACTCTCAGCTAGCCTGCACTTGTCATAGCAGGTCTTTTCATGAGCTCACTCGACAGAAGAGGAATGGGGAGGAACAGTGTGATCTTGGTGGGAGCATCATCTTTTGTCTCTCTCCAGCTGGCAATGTGTCCTCTAGGGACACAGACAGCAAAACATGGATTACAGCAATCCCTAGATGCTTCAGTCTGCAGAGCAGTCAGAGATAACCCACTTTTGCTCAAAGAATTAGGGAATCATAATAAGATGTAAAACAAGTGTTTAGTGGCAGTGCTGTTTTATAATCCATGAAGATCTCTTCGCATTGAACAAATTTTCATAGTGCAAAGCCTCTGACCAAAGCAATGGGAAATAACAGCTACAATATCAGCATCTGGTATTGCCTTCTCCATTTTTTGTTTTTATCAATTTGACTCAATTGTTAAGGAACCCATGCTAGCAAAATTTTAAGAGGCTTTTTAGATCCCACTAGCTGTGACCTTTTAAGTCCTGGTATGTGAGCACTGCATGAGAGTAGAATCGGTCAAACCTATTCTAACTAATTAGGGACCACTGTAAAGGTAATATTAATAATCTGGAGCTCTGGTATTATGAGGTGCCTCTACCCTTTAAACAATATATATAATTGTATAATACAACATTTGTGAATTAATTAGCATTAGTTAGTTCTCATCTTGCTCAATTTACCCCACGTGCATTTTCAGAAAGCCCCTGAACTACAGCGTAGGAGGTTATTTTCTGACGTGTCCTGGGAGAACAAGCGAAGACACAGAATATACATAAGTGAACTGAAAATTAACTGAAAAGGACAGCAAAGAAAAAAGAATTCAAGCTGAAGAGATTTTCTTGCCACAGGGGACCATCCAGGGGAAAAAAGAAGAATGAGAGTCAAAGAGTGGAGGAAAGAAGAATGTTCTAAAAAAAGGTATTTTCTTACAGGTTACTAACCAGCAGAAGAATTTCTAAAAGCCCTATTCAGGTATGTTCTAAAGCTTTTTATGTGAGCACGTGGCAGACAGCAAAAAGGACATATCTAGGACAAGCTACCATTTGCTGCGCCGTTGTAGTATAGCTCCTGCAGCAGACACAGTACAGCTGATGATTGTTCTGTGTTACCAGTGCTCAAACCAATTCATTGCTTGTCCATTCCTCAGGAGACAGTGGCCACCCTTATGTTTTTTAAACTGTGTCTTGCATAGGTGAGAAGAGAAGATGAACGTTATGGCTTTACATATTGCTGCAGTGGATATCTGGGCACCCATGGAAAACACTAAAATCAACGATCTAGAAAAGCTAACAGGCACTGTTTATCATAGTTTTTAACCTATGTTTCATTTAATCAGTACCAATGCATGTTTCTTTTGCCATTAGCCTAGAGATGGCCAGCCTGAAACGCAGTAACTGCTGTGCAGGCTAAGACAGCAATGTAGCCGCTGGCACACGTGGGACATCCCTTCACTCCAGAATCCCAAATCTGCTCCGAGCAGAGGTGAGGAGGGCAACCACTGATCATTTCGTACCAGGATGTGATGCAAGCACAAAAATATGGATTTGATTTCCTGTCCCTCTTCATCTAGACAGTTTCATGATCTTTTCAGCAGAAAATGTTTCAAAATAAAATGTAAATGTTATATTAAGAGCAACACAACTGTGGTGTTTCTGTAACAATGTTAAAGACACTTAAAATGCAAGCATTCCCCCATTTGTAAATCAGTTTAACCTCACATTAACAATTTGCAACCCTCTGTTGGCAAATGGCTTCAAATTATAAAGATCTTCCTTCTCATTAAAATAAGAATTCAGTTTACTAGTTAAAAAAAAAAAAAAAATCACTAAAACTTCTGCACCAGTCCATCAGGGATCAATTTGCCCAACTGAAACACAAAATTGCATATGTCAAACCTCCATTCAGTTAAGAAAACAAATTCAAACTAATGCCACTGCTGAAGATTATTTTCCAAGCTTTTGCAGAGAACTGTATCATTATAACCATTCTTTATTACAGTAGTGCTTACAGATCTCATTCTAAAGCAAAGTCCTCTATTTCCTGTGGGGGAAACAGAGCCAGAAGAGTTGAAGCAATTTGCCAGACATCACACAATGACTCAATGTCTAGGCTGAAGAAAGACGTATTATTCTCAGACTCCTGTCAAGTGCTCTATCCACTTGACTATACAATCTCTACACTTGAAACGTACTTGCTAATTCCTGCACAAGAACTATGCAGTTCTTATTGTGCATTTAACTAATAGAGGTTTCCCTTAGCTTGCTACTGAAACCATGACAGACTGCACATCACAACTCTGCACAAGCACTGATCAAACATGCACCAAGATGTGACAGCCTCGCACCCTCTCTGTGCACCTTCACCCCTGGCACGTGCAAAGGCACCCAATGCACCGATCCCAATGCAACCCTGGCACGAACATGCATGTAATTTTGAAGAGGTTGCAACAGGATAATAGAGGATGAAAATGTCTTTCCCAAAGCTCTTTCCCACATAAAGCTAACCAATGCATACAAAAGGGCCTACGGAATCAAAGGTAAGATTTTCCTGCAA